ACTGTCTGGCAGTGAGCTAAGCAACAACAAAGCAAGTAGCTCATCAGGAAGTTTAATCTCAATAGTAGTCAGTTGATTCACAAGATTCTGAAAACTGCCCATATGCTCTGCCACTGAAGAACCATCCCTGTACTTCAGATTAACCAGTCTCCGAAACAAAAGTACCTTGTTCTGTGCATTCTTGGGCTCAAACATGTCCTTCAATTTCTTCCACAGACTGTACACACTAGTCTCATTAGACACATGATGATAAATGCTCTGATATATCCATTGCCTGATCATGCCAATTGTTTTTCTGTTTGCCTTTGTCCATTCTGCAACAGATTTATCATCTGGCTTAGTACTGTCTCCGTCAATGGGATCATTCAAGTCCTTACAGAACAACAAGTCTTCCATCCAGGATTTCCAAATAGAATAATTGGAAGAATCCAATTTCAGCATAGTACCAGCCATATCACATTCACCTATTTTAATAGCACCAAACAGAACTCCAACCAATGAGCTCTGATACCACTGTTGGAGAAAGATAGCAAAAAATAGAAAATAGTAATAAAATGTGGAAGCTCCTGAATCAACTTTTCCCCTGCGTGCAATTAAAATAAGCTCCACACAAATTGCTCAGAAAACAATAATAAGCACAAAAACAAAACAAATAAAATAAGAAGACACCAAAATTATTAACGTGGGAAAAAACCCTTAAAGGGAAAACAACCCACGGGACCAAGCTAGTAAATCTTCCACTAATAAATTAATGGGTACACCATAAGTCCTCCTGAAACCACCAGGGATCAACAAAGCAAATATAATCTTCACCGTGCAAAGTGGATATCAAATCTACTAACCCCTTAACGGGTACTAGGGCACAACACAAGAGAAGACAAAACACCGAAATAAAAATACTAATATTAGAGGCTCAATGACAGGATCAAGATACTGTGATTTCACCCAAAATGGAATGCTCTTGCAGTACCATACATCTGCCACTCTTTGATGTTCTTCTCTCTGTCTCAAAAAAAAACTCACGTTGCTGCACTCTTCCCTTTTTATATTCCTTGCAGCACACACATCAAGGGTTAAAACCCTTAAACCATTTCATGGGCTTTGTCCCACAAAGCTAATATAAGTCTCTACCACCATTTTGATTTGCATTCTAGGTAAGGCTGGAAATGAGTCGAGTCGAGTCGAACTCACCTCAGCTCGGCTCGACTCGTTAAGAATTGTTCGAATTCGAGTTCGAGTTCGAGTTAGACACGAACTTTTTTTTAAGCTCAAACTCGACTCGTTATAAGTTCACGAACAGTTCGGTTCGACTCGTTAGGTTCATCTCATTAGGTTCAGCTCACATGGTTCACGAACTTAAAAACTATTTTTTTAAATATATATATTTTTTAGTATATTTGACATTTTAAATAAATATATATATTTTAAATAAAATATTAAAATAAAATAAAATTTATCATATTGAAATTTAACTTTAACTTCGAAATCTACTAATTCAAAACCTACACAACTTTCAAGAGATACATTTGAGAGTCTAATTCAAAAACTACTAAATTGAAGATTAAATTTGTCTAAGATTTGAAGTAAATATTTAAACCTAATCTTAAAGACAGTATAATTCTTTTCATATGTAATCGAGTTAACTCATGAACCTAACGAGTCGAACTATGTATAGTTCAAGTTCAGCTCATTTAGTTAACGAACTTAATTTTTCGCTCATACTCAACTCATTTGGTTCATGAACCTAGTTCAACGATTTAATTGTCGAGTCGAATTCCGAACTATCTTCGAGTTGGTTTGGTTCATTGCCAGCCCTAATTCTAGGACACCACGATATCCATATCTGAATTACTTTTTTTTTTTCTTTCTTTTCTTTCTTTTAATAATAATAATAAGATTACGTGGGCTCACATATTTTGGTGAGAGGAGGGGAGGAGAAAAATTTTAATTAAAAATGTGTTTGGTTCAGAAGGGGAGGGGATATGTTTTATTAATAATTTACATTTTTATCCTTATGATCTTATATAAGTCATATGATATTAAAATGTAAAAAATTCATGCGTATTTTTGTTGGTAGTAAAATTTCTACTATTGAGTGATTAAAAAAATATTTATTTATCACATAAAGTTAAAAAATTGAGTACAATTGATTCGACTTATAACTTTCTAACATAAATTAAACTATATGCCAATAACATCGTTTAAATTGTGATGAATCATATAACAAAACAAATATATAAAATAACTTATTATTAAATATTAATGGTTCAAAATATTTAATGAAATGAATAAATAAAAATAAATAAAATGAATGGTGTACAATTTGATATAAAAGAAAATATAATAGAATACATAACAAAATTAAAAGAAAAAAACGAATATAACTAAACATAATTTTTTTTATAAAAAAAAAGACAATGATTATGATTTATATTAAATATAGAAATTATAAAATAATTTGAAGGTGGAGAACAATTATAACAAGTTGATGGAAACAATCGAGAAAAAGCACTAACATAAAAGAAAACAAATAGTTTTAAAATATTGAAATTAAACTGAGGATATTTTAGTAAATATAATAATTTTTAAATATCAAAACTCATATTCCCTACTCTCCCCTCCAAATCCCCCAATTCGGAGGGAACCAAAAAGTGTATTTTGGAGGGATTTTGCTCCATTCCTCTCCCCTCCTAAGATTTGAACCAAACATATTTAATTAAAAATTTCTCCTCCCCTCCCCTCTATCTACCCCGAACCAAACACACCCCTTAGGGTTTCTAACCCCCTTTCAGGTATTTCATGAATCAATTTTTGAGTTTCTTAGCAGTTTATTTCTGTTGTTTGATTTAATTGATGATCATCCTAGTTGAATTTGGTTTAGCTTTGAGTTCAGCGGTTAGGGATTTTAGTTGTTGTTGATTGCCCTAAAGTCTGACATAACATATGGTTTGAGTTTATGGTTTAGGGTTGGACTTTTTTTTATGTCGTTCGATCGTCACAAAATGTTATTTTTTTGAAGTTATGATCACTTGCTTTATTCAATGGTAACTTAATTATTTTTGGGGCGTTTCAATTTGGTTGGTTTCTTTTGTTGATGTTACTTTCATGCATGGATTATATTGAAGTAACATCATGTTAGGTTGCTGAGTATATAACTTGGATGGCTTGAATCTATTATAGAGACATGACATGATTATCTACCTATAGAAGGCTCCTAAATGTCTATGATCAGTGAATTGAATCTGTTAATGGAAGTGTTAACCCTTTGTGAAAAACAAAGCAAATTTTTGCATGAGGTTTTGATGAGACAATCTAGACCTCGCCTTCTTACTCATCCCATCTTCAAACCAATTATTGGGGTATTCTTCTCTGGATCGAAGAATAGACCGTTTTTCCACCAAGAGTAAACAAATTTTAAACCCAAAAATGTTTGGTGGTATAGCGGATATTGATACGACTATTGTGTCAATATTTAGGAAAACAAGACAAGTTAAAATATAGAAGAATACAAAAAGTTAAAGACATGCAAATATAAAAGCTAAAATATAGAAGATTACTGATACAAATATCATACTAAATATAAAAGCTAAAATATAGAAGGTATTATTGATACAAATATCATACTAAATTATAATTCTATAATTTCTTCCATCAATTTTCCACTCCAAAAATTTTAAGGTTAAATTTGGAATTTTAACTTCTACAAATTTATAATATATGATAAATAATAATAATATTAAATAATTAATTAAAATTATAATGATATCAACCACCTCCACCACTAATATTAAATAACTCCTAAAAAAAATTATATTAATAAATCTAAATATAATAATAATAATAATAATAATTATTATTATTATAATAAATAATTATTAGTAATTAATTAATTAAAAATTATAAATTAAATATAAAAAATATTCAAGAGATTATAGTATTAAAACTAACATTGTGCTATATAAGAGTTTTAACATTGTTATTCTTATTGTTTTTATTTGTTTTGTTTTTATTTTTTAGTATATTTTACTGTACTTTTATTTATTTTTATAGGTTATAAGGTTGTAATTTCTTTATGTCGCCCTGACTCAATTTGGTAATTATAAGTTAGCCAATTTGTTGATTTGATCTCAATTATATCTTAGTTTTCATTAATTCATAATATTCAAGTCTTTATGATTAATATTAAATAACTCCCGCAAAAATTTATATTAATAAATAATTAATTTGTTAATTAAAAGTTGGACAATTGTTTATTTGATCTCAATTATATCTTTGTTTTCATTAATCCGTACTATTCAAATTTTTATAACTAATATTAAATAGGTTCTCCTATCCAGTGCCCTGTTTAAGGAGAATTAATATAGCTATGACCCCACCCATTTAACTTTGAAATAAATAATTGTTAAGTTTAATAATTAAAATATTAAAGATTTACACGGTTGTCATATTTAAAGCTAGTGTATACCATACGTTTCGATTTTAATTAACAATTTATTGTTGTTCATTTCACAATAAAATAGGTGAGACCATAGATAATTTAATGCTCCTTAACCAGTGCCCTCAGGGCACTTGATAGCATTTCACTTAAAATTAATATTAAATAAAAAAAAACTGACAGAAAGACACATGCGAGACGCTAGTTTAAGATAAAATACAAATAAATATTACTTATTTCTAATAATACATAAATATTTAATTTATGTCTTATTTAAATATATAAATAAATATTTAAAATGAAAATGATGTACCAATTGTGATGTAGCACATACTAACATGTTAAGCACTTGATTCAAACATGTAAATATATATATTATAAGTGCCTAGCACGTCAAAGATATGACGCGTGCTACCAATTTAATCTTCCTTACATATACACACGTATACCATTTTATATCTATATATGTATATATATAATTTCGTTGACAAATTATTCGTACTATATAATTTGAAAACACAGATTGTATAACACAATCCTTAACTAAACCTTGTAAGCATCAAACATGTCTTCCTTCAAGTCCTATGGAAAAGTCAACGAACTTGATCAAATGATGTTAGAAGCAAAGAGAAAAACCCGAAAGAGAATCACAATCATAAGCTTATCTTCAATAATCTTAGTTACTATTCTAGTTGCATCTATATTTGGAGTTGTTAACAACAAAAACAACTCCAAAAACGACGATAACAATAACAATAACGTGTCACAAAATTCTGTGACGAATTCTATAAAAGCTGTTTGTGATGTGACATTGTACAAGGAATCATGTTATGACAGCCTTGGTTCTGTTGTGAACTCATCAGGAAACGAGATTCAACCTGAGGAGTTGTTTAAGTTGTCGATCAATGTGGCTTTAACTTATGTGTCTAAAGCTGTTGAGTATTTCGATGAACATGGCGTTTTCGAAAAGTTGATTGGTGATACTGATGATGATAGTAGAACTAAGGAAGCTTTGAAAAATTGTAAGGATCTTTTCGAACTCGCGGTTGATCATTTGAATAACTCGTTGATTACTTCGGGAGAAAATTCTTCGGTTCTTCGAGTTTTTGATGATCTCCAAACATGGTTAAGCGCGACAGGTATACTATATGAAAACAGTTCGACTTTATTTTATCTTTAGCTATAAGTACTTATATGATAAACACTTTTTTAAATAGGTACATACCAAGAAACATGCATTGAAGGTTTTGAGGATGGAAAAGAAGAGCTTAAGAAAAGTGTTATAAGCTATCTTAAAAATTCTACAGAATACACAAGCAATAGTCTTGCCATAATTACATGGATTAACAAGGCTGCAAGCACTCTAAATTTGAGGCGTTTAATGAGTTTACGTAACGAAAACGAGTCGCCGAAGTGGTTTCATTCGAAGGATAGGAAGTTGCTTGTTACAAAGGATTTGAGATCAAAAGCTGATATTGTTGTGGCGAAAGATGGTAGTGGAAAATATAGAACTATATCTGAAGCACTTAAACATGTTGCTGATAAGAGTAAGAAGAGGGTTGTGATTTATGTGAAGAAAGGGATTTACTATGAAAATGTGAGAGTTGAGAAAACAAAATGGAATGTTATGATCATTGGTGATGGTATGACTTCTTCCGTTGTTTCTGGTAGGCTTAACTTCGTCGACGGCACGCCGACATTTTCATCCGCAACATTTGGTAAGTGATTCTATTTGGTTTTATATATCTTTTGTTGTAAGAGTAATTCATGGTCTTAAGTTTTCAGAGACACTGCGTAGTAGACTAGTCTGTCTTGCATGCTTTCAAAGACGATCCTCTGTAATGTGTGTAATTTTATGAAAACAGCTGTGTTTGGGAAGAATTTCATAGCTAGAGAGATGGGTTTTCGCAACACGGCGGGTCCACAGAAGCATCAAGCAGTGGCACTAATGACAAGTGCGGATCAAGCAGTATACTATAAGTGTCACATAGATGCATATCAAGACACTCTTTATGCTCATTCGAATCGGCAATTCTATAGAGAATGCAACATTTACGGAACAGTGGATTTCATTTTCGGAAACTCTGCAGTTGTGATACAAAACTGCAACATTATGCCGAAGTTACCTATGCATGGACAACAGATCACAATCACAGCACAGGGAAAAACTGACCCTAACATGAACACAGGTATTTCAATTCAGTATTGCAACATTTCACCTTTTGGAAACTTGACCGATGTTCGAACATACCTTGGAAGACCGTGGAAGAATTACTCGACTACGGTATACATGAGATCGAGAATGGAAGGTTTTGTTAATCCAAATGGTTGGTTACCTTGGGTAGGAAACTCCGCGCCGAACACTATTTTTTATGCAGAATTTCAAAATGTTGGTGCAGGTTCTTCAACAAAGAATAGAGTAAAATGGAAGGGTTTGAAAAACATTACTATTAAACAAGCTAGTACGTTTTCAGTCAAGAGTTTTATTCAAGGTGATAGATGGATTCATACATCAAATGCACCTTTTAAGTCTACTATATGATTATGTCATTACTTTTTTTTGTTATTTTTTTCTACTTTCCTATGATTTTATATTGTATTATTGATTTGATACTGTATAATAATTCTCTTTATTTGATTTTTTTTAATCTAAATTGCATTGGAATATATAACATATTTTCATTATAACCTAAGTTTACATTAGAACATAAACACTCTCATCTCTTTTGGATGTTGTTCTTTTAAAATAGTAACATTATATCTAACAAAAAAAATTGAACCAAAATTATATTACAACATAAACATTTTCCAGCAGAACCTTTTACGTTCTCAAAGACGACTCTGGTCACTAACGGTATGTTTAGTTTAGTAATCCTTCGGTGTAAGGTATATCTGTATCAGGAAGCCAAGTATTTCCCAAAGTAAAGTTAAGAACAGTGAAATTCCAAGCTTGAGTATCATTCAAAAGAAAATATCCAGGCCATTGAACCCTATTATCAGTTGAAGAACCAGGTCCATAGTTATCAAACTCGCCGTAAAAAATAGTGTCTAATCCAAGTGTTCCGTTCCACTCTAACCAACCAGAAGGATCAACAAAACTACCGATGTATGATTGCATATAAACAGTTCTTGAATAAATCTTCCATGGTCTACCTAAGTAACTCAATGTTGAGTTCAAGTCATCAGCCAAATCAGGTGCAGCATCAACGGTGCAGTTTTGGATTGAGATTCCAGTGTTTTGATTTGGATCAGTTCTTCCTTGTGCTGTGACAGCATTTTTCTGATTTGGAAGTGGCTTTCTAGCATAGATGTCGCAGTTCTGGAAAACTACAGCTGCGTTGCCGAATATGAAGTCGACGGTTCCATAGATTTTGCAGTCTCTATAGAATTGTCTTAATGAATGAACATAGAGTGTGTCTTGATATCCTTCGAAGCTGCATCGGTAGAATGTCGAGAGATCCGCGTTGCTTCTTACCGCTACTGCTTGATGTTTTTCAGGACCTGCTGTGTTTCTGAATGTAATGTCCACTGCTATAAATCTTTCTCCAGAAACAGCTGCATTTAACCCAAGAGAAAATGTTAGCAAAAGACAACTACAAAACACAGACACCAGACACAACACCAACACTAACACGTCCATATCTGTAGTAAAAAATAAGTAACTGAATGTGTTAGTGTCAGTGTCTGACACGGATACTGACGCAAATACAAACACGTCTTTATTTAGATGATCAGTGTTACAGAGAAAAAATAGTAATTACCAAAGGTGGAAGAATTGAAAGTTGTCCAACCATCAATGACACTATGGTTCCCTGTGATGATTGTTTTGTTGATACCATCTCCAACAAGAAGAATATTCTTCTTTTCTTTAGGAACAATGACATACTCTTCATAGTAACCTTCTCTAACATAGATAAGAAAATAACCATCTTGTGGAGTTGAGTTATTTGGTGCAGCAGCAATAGCATCTCCAATGGAAGTGTGGTTGGCATCTCCATAAGGACTCACTAGCACATAATCGTTTAAGAGAATTCCTTGGCTTTCACTTTGTTTAAGAATCCTTTCACTTCTTGTATTTGTACAATTTGATGTTTTCTTGCAACTATATTTTGTCCGGAGAAGCTGCAACAACAATCCAATGTTTCAGTTTTACCATTTCAAAACACACTTTCAAATCTGATATTACGCAGCACTGATGTCTCTGAACAATAACATGTCCAGTATCGGACATTGATACGACACTGACACTGATATGATTATATTTAATTTATTCGGTGTAGTTGGAATTCAAAATTTCTAATTAAGTTAGAAGATATGATATGTCTGCTAATGAGTGGATCATAAGAGATTAGCCTTAATTAGGCTATCATGTGGTAGGTATGATGGTATGTAGCAAATACAAGATAGATGACATGTGCATGGTTTGTTGCTAATAGCAATTTGACATAAACAAACAAAAAGCCACGTGACTGATTATAGAGTTGTTACATTATGCCAAAACATTCAACTTTTGAAACAGAGGAAAACAGAGCTTCCTAATAACATAGAATTAGGAATGATATCACATGTTCCGTTTCATATTATTAATTTTTGTTACTTTCATGAAAAAAGAAAACATGACCAAGCAAAAATAAAGTTTGCCTCCTATAAATAATTGCATATTATGATTTTTCTATAAGAGATAAAGAGTAGTATAAAGACATAAATTACCTTAATAAGCTTCTCAAGTGGTTGTCTAACTTTGAATGACTTATTAGGAAGACCATGTTTGCGTGTCTTATTCCTCTTCATGTGTTTATTCAAAGCATCACTAACCAATCCAAGTGAGACACTATAAAACTGTGTAGCATCTTTCAATGGAACAGCAAGAACATTAGCAATGTTACTTTTGGTCACAACCAACCCATCAAAGCAAGTGTAGTGATTAGTACTAACAGCACTGAGATAGCTTTCGATTTTATCGACAAGTTCGGTGTCTGATGATGATGATGAACTAGTGGCTGATTTGAGTTCATCTGAGACTGATTCTAAGTAGTCTACATTGAGTTGGTTAAGGTCTTTGCAATCCACTAATGCACCAAACTCTTCATGGTTTAAAGAGGATGATGATTGGTGGCGATTGAGGAAATCGAGAAATACTTTTGATAGTTTTTTTGTTAGTTTAAGGTTTTGTTTTATGGAGAATTTTCCATAGTTGTATGGATCTGAAGTCGATGCTCGGATGGTGGATAACATCGAGCGACATAGTTTGGGATACAATGTCGCTTTGCACGCAGCGGAAGAAGAAGGAGAAGGAGAAGAAGAAGGAGATGGAGATTGAGCTAGAAGTAGTAATGGTGCTAAGAGGATGAAAAAGAGAAGGGAAAATGGTAGTGACATTTTTTGAGTTTTAAGGTAAGGTTGTAAATGGGGTTTGTTTGAGTATGTATTATTTTGCTTGTGAATGTGTTTTGGAATAATGGTTGTGCTAGTAATTTATAGGCATTTAGATAAAGTTGTTGAGATCAAGTAAATACTCCTTCTTACTAAGGATAATTGTTTATTCATAAAAAAGAAATTGTCTCTTTTGAAATGGATATTAATTTTTAAAAAATATTTGTATACTTCTTGTAAATATTTCAATTTAGTTTTTAGTGTCTTAAAATATTTTTTTTGTAATTTATAAAATTTTCAATCCATATTTTTGGTCTCTCTTACAATTTAGGACAGTTTTTATAACTTATCAATAAAATTAACGGCAGTTTTAACGACGATTTTTAACTTAACGACTAAATTAGCGACAATTTTAGCGACGATTTTAGTATTAGAAATCAAAAATGTGTGAGAAAATTTTATGAGAAATATTCTTTGAAGGAAAAATTTTAAAAAACTGAAAACAAAATTTGAAATATTTAGGAGAATTACAAATATATTTAATTTTTTTTTAATAGAATATTATTTCTAATGAAAGATTAAATTTATACAAAAATATAAGATAAATGAATAGTAAACTGTGTTGGTATGAATTAGCCTTTGGACTCTCAATAAAAAATTTAGGTGCTAGAAAATAAAAAGTGTCTAAAACAGATATTTTTTCCATTTTAAAATGATTAGTATCGTTTAAAATTTTTACACACAGATTAAAAAATATAATAATATTATCACAAAATATTATATTTTACTAAATTAATCTTACAAATATATTAAAAATATTATAAAAAGTAATATTTAAATTACATAACTAGACACTAACAATAATTTTTGCATTTAAAATGAAAATAATATTCATTTTGTAATAATTTTTTATTAGTCATTCTAAAACGAAGATAAATTGTCAAAATAAAAATCTTCTATATTTGATCACTTAATTTAAATGGGTTTGATGATCTGTGTATTCCACACTAAAATCTTGTCTCAGTTTGGCCAATGTCAAATCCAAATAGAATGAAAATTCAAGTAAAATAACTCAAGATCTAGAACTTGAACTTTGATGATGGTGTCTACCTAAAGATATCAATTTTTTATGGGTTGAATTAGAATTGCATGTTAATGTGATGAATATAATATATTTTAATGTTTTGTTTGTACTCTTTTACGCGTAGAGAATAATTCAAAGGGTAGGAATAGTAGTAGTATTGGATAGTTGTGGGGTGTGTCGGTGTGGGGGTACATAGATGGGGTATGACTATAAATGAATGAACTGTTAAAGCAAATGAACGTGTAAGAGAAGGATTGAACTAAAGTTGTGGTTGCCATAAAAATGATGTTAAGTTAGTTCTATTGTTACAAGGTACATGTTTCTTTGTCTGGTTCAACATTTGAAATTATTACTTAATATTTGGTGCAACTAAACAACAAGGGATGGTATGTATTAACTACCTTTCTTTTCTTTCTTTGATTTTCTCTTTCTTTCTTTATGGCTTCTCTTTTATTTTCAGCTTCATAAATGAATGGTATATTTGAAAATTAGACAGTTAAAGACAAAAACAATTATAAAAAAAATGAAATATTTGAATTTGAATTTTAAAAATATATCTCCAAATTCATAATTATTCTAGTCGACTAAAGGCACAGACAACACCAAGACTCAATTCATCTTAAATTTATTCTACTTAACTCAAGATATAAAGTTAGTTCACACGGAAAGTAAGACACGTTCTCAGATCTTCAGTTTTCATTACACTCATTTTGAATCTTGGACTGACATGAGAGTTGGAGTCGTAACTTTGTAGGTCCACACCCGCAACACTGTATCGAAAATCAACACCACTTGTTCGAGATTCTCCACCAATTAAATATGACAAATTATGATTCTATAACGGAACAGTGACGTCGTCTATGGGAACGACTTATGATTCACGTGTTTTCCACGATTTCGCTTACGCTTTTTTATTCGTCGGTCTGTAACATTTGCGGATTACCAAATCAAGAGCGATCATAATCGAATCTGAAGATACATCGTGTTTGGTCCATTCGATCATCGTGTCAACTTTGATTCATCGAATTTCCGGATATCTAGTTATCACTAAAACTTCACGAAGTAAAAGAACAAATGATCTTAGATCCAAATCTAAATCTACACTAGAATTGTCAAAGAGCAGGAGGTGGTTACCTCCAAGATCATATTGAAGGTTCCTAGTTAACATTTGGTATCACATCGCCTCAATATCATTCGCTAGCGTGATACTTATTATGACGACTTCAAAGATAGGACGAGCTCATAGCTACTTCTAGCATATATTTGTTATTGGAATACCTTCCCTAGGTAACGAAGGATCCCCAAACGATGAACAGGGGCCGCATAAGGCCATATTTGATATATCGTGATGAAGCTCGTATTACGACTAAAGCTACTTTATAACAATTGAGTGAAGCAAACTTACATGGAAACATTACCAGCGGTTTAAGCTTTAATCACTGTAGATATTACTACATAACACCATGATGCGAAATGTTAGTCACTCGACTCTATTCTGCTACACCTTCTTCCCATTACTTAGAACCAGAGCGCAATTCCTTTCAGTCGTGATCCGCCGGTAAGATTTCTCTTCTATATGGTTGGTGAGCACTACATCATGGAATGAAGATGTATGGGCACAAATGCGTTTGAAGAATGAGAACTTTAAGCAAACAACAACTACGGGAAAACCGACAATCACAACAGTCTCCACCAATACAAGAGTTCCTATTGGATAACTCATAGACAACGTCCTTTGAGCATTAATTCCCAATTTGAAGTGACCAAATTACCAAATCTCTATAGTTGGGCCTAAAGGATAACATAAATTCATTGAATACGTAAGGGGAAAGTGCACCCCGGAGCCTGGTTGTAGGGAAGTAATGTCCCATCAAAGACACCTCTAGTCAGTATTTATATGTAATTCCTCATTCGACCTTGTTGATTAGTAAGAAAATTTTCAGGGGAAAGAAGCGAGCTAAATTCCATTTGTGGGTATCGAAGAAATAAGACTCTTAATAAATCTCACCTTTGTTTAAGCACACCCTAGGCCCTAGGGGAATCCGACTGTACTCTAGAAGACAAACTCCCACGTCTCATTTAAACATATTGCTAGTCACACTTTGATTGATCGTGGCAAGTAACTACACTAAAGTAAAAGGGGGCGGGGGTGTTTCTAGTCTGTTGGTTAGGTGGTAGGGCGTAGAGTTATTTGAAAAGGGAGTTTTGTGGATTCCAAATATCTACGATCGCCGGCAATCTATGTCTTCGGCGAAGTCAACCGCCATATAGTGGTCATCTATTAGGAAGACCCAGAGGCATCTGAGGACATTGTATCCTTAACTTTGATTTTATTCGTTAGATACTATGTAAGGTTGTCGCACAACTTCGTTAATTGATATCCTAATTGTTAAATGATACAACCATAAATATTTTTCTATATCCCATTAAGAATGACGTAATTATATCTTTAAAAGTTGACTTCACGTTTAAGAAGTACTTTTCTTAACGTAGATGTGCACCCCCCTTCCCCCAATTTGAATCTAGCCAATCCAATGGTGTTAGGTGGTGGAGTCCAGAGACGTTCACCTTGATTTGAGTCATACTTTGGAAGCAGAGACGAGGATCTTATCCGCCACGGGAAAGAAAACAAATGTACATTGAATCAGTGAATGTTATCTACAACAAACACATACACGCTATATCAGTGAATTCTAAATACCACAAACAAATACACACTAAATTAGTGAATTCTAAATACATCATATAAATACAACCTGAATTAGTATACGCTAATTCCGTGAACAAATACAACAACAATATAATGAAGTTGAATATAGGACTAAAAGTCAAGTGAGACCACAAACCACAGAGGTAATAATATTTTTTATAAATACTAATTATCATTAAATCCAAGGCACAATGGTCTGGAAAACATTACAGGAGGAAAGAGAAACAATGCGAAGAAAAATAAGAAGAAGTCAAGCTACAACACTTGGAGCTGAAGTGCCTGGATCATCCCTAGAGTCCCCTTCTGAAGAAGCCTTGAAGGAGTATAACATCTTAATGGGAATAATGTCTTGGGGGGAAAATCCCTTTGACTATTCCATAACCTGATCACGGACCCTGAGCATGCCCTGTACAGATCATCTTTAAAGTGAAGCATGGAACTTCTCCATCAGACCAGCCACTTTCCCCTCAAAGGCCTTCAAGACCTCAACATGGGTCTCTGCTTCCCGCAGAAGTGTATCTCGATCCTCCTCCACAATGTGGTTCACCTTAGCAATGATATCAGAAACTTCTTAACTCTACTTTTTGTTTGCCTCAAGAGAGGACTCCAACTCAGCAACCTGGGCAGCTAGAGTAGCGGGTGATCCGTGGGTATTTGCCTCTTCTTGCAAGGCTTTGATAATCTTAGTCTTTTTCTAAAACTCCGCTAAATCCTTATGGAAAGCTAAGATATCATGCTTCATAGCTTCGCATTTACCATCCCAAATGTCCTTGTCCTTGGAGGGATTTGTAACAGCAAAGACATCCTTTCCTCCAGCAACGGTAAGAGAGAACACATAAGATGCCTGGTACATGTGGAAAGTGGTCTTGGAAAGAAGTTCCATCTTCTCCTTGTAGAAGCAAGCTTCAAGCTCATTAAATTTTTGATGAAGACAACAAGATCAAGCTTTCTACGCAAACACATACATATGTAAAAATCAAGAGTATTCAAGTAAACATCAAAGGATCAAGATAGTGTTCCAACATGTGAAAATTGTGATCAAGCTTCTCATACAAGCTTCAAATGTGAAGATAGAGTTTTGAACATCAATTCAAAGGTATAACCAATATTACTTGAAAATATTTATACAAGTGTTCAAAAATTCATATCTCACTACACATATATCACAAACATCTTTGAAACTTTTTTTGGATGCTCTCATATTTTAAAATT